TAACGTTTATACGTATAAGGACAAGTGTAACATCAAAATGATTGAAAGCACCAGGTTGGGCAACTTCTGCAATTTCATTCCGCAATCAACTCCTTCACTTTGATCATTTTTTTTTATTCTATCAATTTACTGACAGGGAGAAACTTCGGCCACATCATCATAGAATATAGCTCTTATCATTAATTATATTGTGCAATAATCCGATCGTCTGGTTCACTGTGGCGTGACATTTCGCAGTGGTAAACAACGAGGAAATTAGGGTTTCATGTTGCAGGAGTAGTGGCTGACACCATCGAGACAACGTGTGAAGATCTCCGCGAAAAATGGTTCCGATATGAACTATAAAGGAAATTTAAATATTGTTGTACGAAACCAGTTAAAGTTTAATCATGAGGTTCGGTCGAAGGTTCTTGTAGATGGAGGTGACGCATTGAGTTTAGTCATATATTATTTTTAAATCAAAATTCATGTTTTCTTCCTTTTATGTCTTATTCAAATTCAGAGTTGGGGCACAGCGGGATATGCACATGCTTCATGCGGGATGACACCCCCGATAATCTTCCATTCATTACTTGGCAACACTGAAATGGCATTTCCCCTAGACGCCTTCAAGCAGTCATTAAATGGTAATTACATCATACAAACAATTAAGTTTGTTAATATTAAAATTGATCAAAATGGGGTAATACTTTCCATGATTAGATTGCCTTCCTCTATTAAATGGGTTTTTTTTTACCAATATTGAATAGCTATATGCCCGACTCTATTATTAAGCATTTGGTTGTGCGAGACCTATTATAAGATCAGTCACTACGACAACACTCCAGTGCAGACGATGAGCAGGTGACATCGCGCACACTACACAATGAACTTCAAACCAAATCGACGATATGACATGCATGAGTCATTTCTGCCGGACCGCCCATGTGCATGGATCTTCTAGAGCATGCTGAGTTATTGGAACACCTATTCCAATATTAAAGACGCACGATTACAGTTTATGCTCAACTTTTTTGTAGAACTTATAGCTCATGCTTAAAGAATATAAAAGGTTTCATGTTGAACTCGAATGTAACCTGTGGTTTAGAACGAGTAGATGGTGGTTTAAAAATAGCTGGCGGGTTATAAGTAGCTGGTGGTTTGGTTTATGAGTAGCTGGTGGTTTATAAGTAACTGACGGTTTAAAAGTAGCTGGCGGTTTAAATGTATAGCTGGCAGTTTAAGAGTAGCTGGCGGCTTAAGAGTAACTGGTGGTTTATAAGTAGCTGGTGGTTTTAAAGTAGCTGGTGGTTTTATAAGTAGATGGCGGTTTAAAAATAGCTGGTAGTTTATAAGTAGCTGGTGGTTTTAAAGTAGGCCTAGCTGGTTGTTTATAAGTAGC